TTAAGATTATTTTTCTTATTGGGTTGGGTTAGAGATAGATACAAAAACATAAAAACATTGATAATTGTGGGATGTGTGCAAAAACCTCTGGGCTAGGGATATGAACATGAATGACCAATTGATTGACTAAATACACATTAGAACTGCTAGCACTGAAGAGGTTACCTATTCGGGTAATGAAACATCTGCAAGAAAACCACCAAGCTCAGAGAACCCCAAGGACTCCATGCTGGAATATCAGCCAAGAAGCCTCACATACCCTCCCTCTGAGATCACAAAGGTGAATATCAGAATGGAAGGAAAAGAGTCATACATTACACCCTGAAAGAAAATACCATTAACTATGATCACATACAGACTGGTTTCATACATTCCACTAAGCCATAGTTGGTTATATATGGTTTGTTGGATAACTCTCAGATGTCTATTTTTTACCTAATACACTACACCAAAGCTAAGAAAATGATGTTAAAGTTTAATGTACCTTGTGATCTAGATCTCAAGATACATTAGGTCTCGGAGAGAGAATTTGAGGAATCAAGTACTTTAAGGGACTATGGGAAATCTATTGTTAGAAAATCCTTAATTCCTCCCCAAAATTTGACAACTGTACTGGATTATAGCATAGATAAATCCTCAAGCTTTCTACCTTTCCGGCATTTGAGATCAAGGTAAAAAAAAGTAGAATTTTCAGATTCCTGTTCCACTGACAAAAGGAGGTTCCAGCCCTCATAACTGCAGATAGTATTGATTCTTGTTTACTTGTAGCTGAGGAGCTCCCATTCCTATATGATGACAGTGCTACCATTATACCAAAGCAAGATCTGCACTAATCACAGTTTAGAACTCAAACTATGATTGAGCTTCCTAACAGATTGAGTAAACTCATGGCTTTTAAGGCTTTTTTCATTTTGACAGACTGAATTTGACAAAATGAAAAACCACTGACATAAGATATGAAGGCCTCCAAAGGCAGGAAGCTGTTGCAGTTCTGGATTCTTAGGGACTAGGGATTGACCATGAGCACCATGTTACCTGCAACATCCTCCAAAATAGTTTTAAAAATTAAATCAAAGTGGGCTGTGAATATCTGGATTTCATGTGATTGTGGAGCAAGAATGGTGAAATGTTGGCAAAATTTAACTATTTAAGGAACATGTATTTATGTCTATGCGATGATGCAACATCACGTAAAACCACTTGGTACCTGTCAGGGTTGCTGACCCTGGGGTTAGATAACATGCTGGAGTATGATTTGCCAACTTGCTTGATACCAAGGTTTCCAATTTTAATTTGCCAACCAATCAAAACCTATTAAGCTTCCTGAACCATATTTTGATGAGTTGACATGTCCCTCCCTCTGCTTGCAGCCACTTCTCCTTAACTCCATATAAACTCAGCAGAATATTTATGTAATGCAGCCACCAGTTCCTATTTGGAGGAGAATTTAGTGCAGGAAATCAAGGCAACTTGGCCCAAATGCTGCTTCAGACATCATTATAAACGTGGAAACTTTTCTAAATGGATTTTGATTGCAACGTGTACTTCTCTTTTCCTGCTGGATGCCAGAATCTCAAAATTTCTAAAATTGGTCTTACCTGGTTGCTGGAAGGACTCTTCATTTCTTAATGTGCTAGACAAGATGAGGATTAGTGCATCTTTAAACTGATCAAAGTGGACCTTTAAAAAAAGAAGAAGCAATTATTAGTACATCTGGTATACTGTAGCACCATATGCCTTACCCATAGTTAGTGCCAAATTTGGTTTATTGTGTCATGCAAACAGTTCTGGAAGTACCTTCTCTAGCTCTTACAAATGCTGGGAACTTCCCAGGTAGCCCCCCACTTCCAATCCACTCTCCCACATTTTCACTTGCCCTCTGCTCTAAGTGCCCCACGGGGATAGTAACAGAGGGTTACCTTCAAGGCATTTATAAGAATTATAACAAGACAATTATGTACTGAACTAAATAAAATAAAGGCCCTGATAACAATACTGTATCAGTGGGCCTCTAGACCTTAGTATGACTGTGGGTAGCCACTGATCTTTTTATGGATTGTTATATTTTGTTTATGTTTTGATTTTTGGTATGGCCCTTCAGAGATTATGAAGACTGAAGTAATACACAATTGTTAATAAAGAAGCAGGATGCTCTTTCAACACTTCACCAAAGCACTCAATGTCTGGATTCACACAGCACCCTTAAACCAGTTATAAAGAGTAGCTGCTGCATTTGCACCATGCACTAAGCATGGTTAGCTTTAACCTTGGTTAGGCTTCTGTTTAAGGCTTAGCATGTTGTATGAACCCGCTTGGTTAGTTTACAATGCAGTCTGTTGTGAGAACCCAGAAAATGATAAATTCAGTAATCAGGTTAAGTGGGATGGGGAATACAGCCTCTGATTGCCATGAATAACTCACTTGCTTAACCTACCTTTGCATGCTAAGCAAATGGAGGAAAGAGGATGTTGGCACTTTCCAGACACCAGAAACCTCTGGGTGGAGGGGTGGATCACTTCTCAATTCCTGTATTCCAGTCCCATCCAAACAGGAAGCAAGTATAAAAATAGCCCTCTTGTTCATGACTGCGCCTCCATGCATAAGACCGTAATGCCCAATTTGGTTCTCTTTTCTCCATTTTACAGAGATAAACACCCAACCAAACTGGATTTAAGCTCTTAAGAGATATCCATTCTTCGCCCTTGGCTCTCAAGCTTTGCTTATTCTTCAAGAAGGATGCCCAGGCAGGTTCCTTGCAGGCTTTTTTTATAAAAAAATGAATTGATTAGTCCTGTCTCTCATTTGAAAAGTTTGCCCCTGATATATTTATTATTCCAGCCATTAATGGCTGCAGCATCAGTGGGGTTGATGAAATCCAATGCATAACAAGCAGCTCTTGGGGATGCATCAGGAACTGGGACTGCAAACAGATTCTGGGGCTTGATTCGGGTACAGATCAGACTCCTTAACCATTTTTTTTTTTCCAATCAGTGAAGTTTGCACTACTTGACTAATTTACTAGCTATCCTAAGGATCCAGTGATTTTCCCTTTTCTCCTCTGGAATAGTTATGTTTTATGCTTGAGGTCCTTAAGCACACATTATAGGGCTATCTGTTGGGACGCTGCAGCAGCGTCTTATCCTACAGATCCTGCACTGAGCAGGAAGACAGACTACAGTAATTGAATTCCAAGGTTGCTTCAAATCTCTGATTTTTCTTCCTTTGCACTTCAGCAACTTAGAATCCTACTCTCTTGTTATGTTCTACATGTTGGAGAGTCAGTTTCCTGAAACAATAGGTAACTTGATATTGTCCAACTAATTTAGACTCCCGTCAGCCCCCGCAACAGAGAAAATAACAAGGTATGATGGGAGTTGTAATCCAAAACTTCTGCAGGCTGCCTCCCCTGCTTTAAGGTGTTATAAAACTCTTGTTTACTATTCAATGGCCCTATTCACCCAACAGTGTTTAACCCAGCCAACCAGTAACTCATTCAAATTTCCTTACATGTTCTAAGCATATAATATAAATATCATTGTATTGAAATAATATACAGGTAGTCCTCATTTAGCAACCACAATTGGACTGGCAACTTGGTCATTAAGCAGAGTGGTCACTAAGTGAAGCCATGACTGTGCTTATGATCTTACTTCAGCTTTCCTTTCCTTTACAGACCTGTGAACATTGTAAATGCGAGGATTGGTTGTAAAGTTACTTTTTCATCACTGTTGAAACTGCGAACAGTCGCTAAATGAGGCAGTTGCTAAACAAGGCAGTTGCTAAACAAGGACTACCTGTATTGTACTAAAACTGAGAAGATGGAGCAATAAATGGTTTATACGGCTAGATTTAATATTATGTTGAAGGATTGAGCTAGTTCTATATTAATATTTTATGGATATAATTTTAGTATCTACAAATGTCATTCATTTATTCATTATTCTATACTTTTTTTTCTGATTTTATTAGCACTGGTATATTTTTGGTTGTACTTCATCATATCTTCTGGTTATTATACTTACCAATAAATAAATAAATAAATAAATAAATAAATAAATAAATATTAAAACCCTGACAAATAGAACAAAAATCTTTACAGGTAATACTGGCAGCACACAATCCTACTACCTGGGTCAAAGGTCACCCCAGAAAATGCCATGGCTGCCTGTTCTGCTGTCATCCTGCCTTCCAACAACACTTTTCTCTCCTGCCTCACCTCCAGGCATACCACATGCACTTGCTAATCTCTGCCAAACAAAAGTCCTTCCCCAGAGGTCAAAAGACAAGTTACCAGAGGTAGCACTGGAAATCTCTAAAGAAAGAAGCAACTGCAAAGGCGACAGCTCTCCCCACCATTAACCCCACTGGATAACTCAGGAGGGAGGATGGGGAGAGAGGAGCACACACGACTCCAACACAGGGCACGTCTCTAACGCAGGGCACATCCAGGAGCCACAACCAAGATTGACCAGATACAAAGATAGGACAGCAAGCATCAGATCCTTCTCCATCACCTACACCAGGTGTGCATCAGTGCTCCCGAACAGAGTCTCTTCAAGTGATGTCATCTGTTTACGTTTGGGAGCACATGGAGATGTGCATGAAGCTCTGCTGAGTTTTTCTCATTTGCCACCATGTGGAAGGGATAGCATGGTTGCTCCCTGTTGCCAATCAGAATTATGGGGCACATTCGGTAACTGCCAGGACTCTGACAGTGAGTTCCAAAATGGAAAACCTGAGTTTTTCAGAACTCTACAACCCCAGCTCTTCTTCTAGAGCAGTGTTTCTCAACCTTGACAACTTTAAGATATGTGGACTTCAACTCAGAATTATGGGGCACATTCGGTAACTGCCAGGACTCTGACAGTGAGTTCCAAAATGGAAAACCTGAGTTTTTCAGAACTCTACAACCCCAGCTCTTCTTCTAGAGCAGTGTTTCTCAACCTTGACAACTTTAAGATATGTGGACTTCAACTCCCAGAATTCCCCAGCCAGCATTCTACATGCACACAAACAGCTCCACATCATTAAATATTTCTGAACTGAACATACAGTCTAGCTATATAGATCTTGATGCACATCACAAGGAGTAATTAAAATCACCTTGGGAATCTGCTCGATGAAACTTCATAGCAATGGCCTCATTTATATATTAAGAGCTGCCATTCATCCTACCAATATTTCAAAATGCTAGTGTACTTTAAAAAAAAAGCAGCTTGCAGGGAGGAAAGATTTCCCTGATTAAAAAAATACCTTGACATTTAAAGTAAATGAGCATGACTGTAAGAGGAGGGAGAGTTAGATTATGCAGGGCACTGTGCAAAGCACACTATGCATTACAATTATCATGGGGGTAGGGAACTTGCAAGACCTAGTCATCTACTTATCCACAACACACTTGCAATGAGAAATGTAACACCACAGCACACCTGCCAACATTCAACAGAGTAATCACGTATACTGGGTTTAGGATGTTATTTACTTACTCTCAAACCTAGATGCTATTAAATTGAAAAAAAATCTAAATACTCAGCTCTGATAACTTTTCAAAACTCCAATCAACAATTAAACCAATGGGTTTCCACAGTTAGGAAAATGCTAAATATTTCAAAGGGCAACATATAATTTTGACCCCAGATGCTTTTAGTGTTTACAACATTTTGAACATGTTAACCTCACTAACTGTTGCAAGCTTTGTTGAGTAGGCTAATATTATTATAATCACATTAATATTATTTCTGGCAGCTTTGCACAACATCTGGGCTAAGGGCTGTCCACAGGAAGAGTGAAAAAAAGTCAGGATGGTAGCCACAACTGCACAATTGAAGTCTTGTCCCATTTTTGTGTGGGCTGCGTGCATAACAACATACAGAAGAAACAAGCTTCAGTCATATGGTTGCAACCACTATCTTAACTTTGTTGACCGCCGCTCACCCCTCCATTGCTCAAAGTGGTATAGGAGCAACAGTCCAAAAAGTAATAGGTGGAACCAGCACAAGGATCCAATCTGATTTTAGATTTGAGTTTATTTAAAATTAAGTCTGCTTAGTAGGATTAGAATTGTCCCATTTGGTCACATAAAAAAAAAAAATAGTTTGGGAAACACTTTTGGAGGTTTCTGGAGACACACCTTGAGGCTTTCAGGGATCACACACAATCCTCAGACTTTGCAATTTTGCCTCTTCATCTGGTCTAATTGGGGACTTGTTTTCTGTCATGGGCCACCTTGTTTCTTAAAAAAACATTCTATTGACCATGACAGTTCCAGGCTGAAATTGATTGGATGGATGGATGGATGGATGGATGGATGGATGGATGGATGGATGGATGGATTTATTTAT